TGTCTGATGCTGTCAAAGCCCCAATACGTTACAGGAGGCTTTCACACCAAGTGCAATAATAGTAGTTTTTCTAATGTAACTTTAAGAGTATTATTTTTCCATTGTAACTTTGGAAGCATCGTTTTTCTATTGTAACATTAGAAATACAGTATCATAATCTTAGAAGTATTTTTGCAAAATTACCTATTGTAAACCTATTAGCTTATACATTCCAGACTTGTTATGTACAGACTACAATAAAAAAAAAAATATTATTATATTTTCATATGTGTACACATGTTATAATTTGAATCAGACTTTTTCTGTAAAAAGTTTAGAATTTTTAACCTGATCAAAAAGAGGGGTGAAGAAAATGTAATAATACAGTGCAGAGCTGATAAGGAGAAATCACCAGGAACCCACGAAATAGTTCTTCTTATCAGAAATTCCTCTTATCCAGGTAAGAGTTCAAGCAAGCAGAATTACCAGGGATAAAGAAACAGTTCTTCACAATAGAAACTCACCACATCCGAGATTGCCTGAAACGGTCTGCACTGTATAAATAACATTTCTTTGAGATGGATTTTGTTTGGAAACTGACCTTGGCTCCCAAGTCAGCCCAGTCTAAAGTGGGTACCAGGTAATGTCCTGGGAAGTATAGGCGGCCGGTATGATGTCAACCACATCACCAAATCAAGGGTTGATTGGTTTATATAATTATTTCTCTGGCACCATATGCCTGATACAAAAGTGACCCCGGCTCCCAGGTTGACCAGCCTTAAATGGGTACCAGTTAAAAGAAAAAAAACATGGGAAGTAAAAGTGGCCAGCATGATTGATCTATCATATATATGTGCCCAGTACACCTAAAGGTGTGGACAGGGTTCTTTAGTTTACTCCTAAGTATGATGCATCAAAGCATGAATCACGTCCTGTAAGGTTGTGAAAAGGCATGATCACCTGTGCCACTCAGCAAGGCACTTTGTGATAATATGATAGTATTTGAATACTTGCTGGCATAACTAGAAAAACTCTAAATATTTCAAATCCAGATGAATGATTTACTGTAGTGGGGATTTGAACCCTTCCCTCAATGGTGCGATGCTTGATTAGTGTTCTACTTTAGGTGTGCCATGTTTCATTACCACCAATATCAGTGTTTTAGCAGGTACAGTGGTGGACACTAGTTGAGAAATCATACAATAAAAATGTTAATTTGAAACATGGATTCTGAATATTTGTTCATAATTATTTTTTCATGTTTGTGTTTGTAACTGACTGAAAGTTTCCCCTAGTGGGACTGTGTGTATGATTTCCCCTAGTGGGGACTGTGTGTATGATTTTCCCTAGTGGGACTGTGTGTGTGTGATTGTGGGAAATCCATCTGATGTGGGGTGACAGGAAGGTGCTACTGGGTTGACAGGCAAATAATCTAGTCACTGGATACAGTATAATCTACTTGGCTTTTGAATTTACACAGCTTGTCACTTGACAGGGTGTCTGTTCTGTGCAATCAACATGGCTTCTGAATTTACAAAGCTTGTCACTTAACTATTCGAGTCCCAGGGAACGCATCATATGTACATATATTTTAGTCTCTTCACTACTCCTTGGGCCTGTCATGCTAAACCCCATGGGACTCAAAAGAGTTAAAAGGGTGTCTGTTCTGTGCAATCAACATGGCTTCTAAATTTACACAGCTTGTGGCTTGACAAGGTGACTGTGTCATGGCTGTGCAGTTAACAAGGCTTCTGAATTTACACAGCTTGTGGCTTGACAAGGTGACTATGTTATGGCTGTGCAGTTAACAAGGCTTCTGAATTTGCACAGCTTGTGGCTTGACAAGGTGACTGTGTAATTAACATGGCTTCTGAATTTACACAACTTGTCACTTAAAAGGGTGTCTGTTTTGTGCAATCAACATGGCTTCTAAATTGATACAGCTTATGGCTTGACAGGGTGACTGTGTCATGGCTGTGCAATCAACATGGCTTCTTAATTTACACAACTTGTCACTTAAAAGGGTGTCTGTTTTGTGCAATCAATATGGCTTCTGAATTGATACAACTTATGGCTTGACAAGGTGACTGTGTCATGGCTGTGTAATCAACATGGCTTCTGAATTTACACAACTTGTCACTTAAAAGGGTGTCTGTTTTGTGCAATCAATATGGCTTCTGAATTGATACAACTTATGGCTTGACAAGGTGACTGTGTCATGGCTGTGCAATACTGTAGACAAAGAGACTGAAAACTAATACTTTCTCTTTGTGTTTGTGGATATGTGTTAGCAAGAGATAAAGAAAGATAGCGGGAGCCAGAGAGAGAAAACTGGTGAGAGAAACAGTGATGCAGAGAATGAGAAAAGATATATGAGGGAGAGAGAGAAAAGACACAGTAACGGATATCAAGTAAGAGAGAGAGAGAACACGGGAGAGAATGAGATGGAAGGGGGATGGGGAAGGCAATTGTGAACAAAAAAGAGAGATAATTATGAGAGCTTCAAATGAAAACCTTAGAAGTGTGAAAGAAATCACAACAACCATGTCATTGTCTTGTAACCTGTTAATATTGTTTTTAAGAGTGTTAAACACATGACATCACGGTGCAGACAAACACTTTTGCCATGCCCCAATAAAGAAGCAGCGTTCTGTTACCTCTGTGTTAAAAAAAACAACAACATCAATGAAGGGGGAATGAAGGTCCTTTATGGTGATGCATGTCATTTAGTCCAGCAAATGTTTGAATGGAGTAGGGGAGTTTCAAACTCATAAACTTGCTCGAATGACAGACATGCATCACCGTATCTATCACACTTATACAATTCTTTTTTGAAGAATGCTCACAGAAAAACAAAGACACACAGAGAGTGTTGGAAAAGAGAGAGAGGCAATATATAAGTAAAACATTAGCAAATAATAATAAAAAAACATTTAAAAAAAAACGGTTGAATCTTTTTTCTTGCTTCACCAACATAGTTTATTTTATTTTCTTATAGCATAATACTGCACCCCTCAGGTTATCTTAGTTAAACATTATGGGACAGCAGATAATTAAGTTCCAAACATGCATTTTTATCAGCAAAACTAATTTGTAACAAGGTAACATTTATATAGTGCATGAAACAGCCGTTTATAAAAGTATTTGCCAAATCAGAATCCATTACCAAAGACGAAGCCTATAATTGTGCGTTAAAAAAAAGGACCCTTTTTACCATTTAGTGCCTACTCACTAATGATTTGGAATCATTTGAGTGAACATCGGGCCCAATTTGGCAGATCCACAGTTTGCCACTGACGCTCTGAACAATTATTTGTTTCTAGCCAGAGTGTGCTGATAAAATCTTCCCATTTCTTGACCTGCAGTCCAAAGTTTCTGTTGCCCAGTTACTTAGTTTGGTGCGACACTGCGCTGTGGTTTTCATGTACAATGATTTTTATTTCTCTTTCCGTTGTGCCCTTGATGGTTTTGTGCTTTGAAGAGTACTAAAAATAGCAACTATTTGATGACATTCGGAGCAGCGTTTTCTTATGAAGTACTGAGTGTGCAAATGCTGGCTTTCGTAACTGACTGCTTGCCTCAACAGTGAGCTGCAATTATGGTGTGGAGACTGTTAGTGTTGATGCATCTGATATCTGCCTCAATGCATTTACTTTGCATCTGCATGCTTCAAGATTTTGCTGGGACTGGGTTTTTCACTAGTTTTTAAATGGATATTTTATGTGATTTCTGCTGGCACAAGAACGGAGCGGCTGTGGTGGAAAACACCTGCAGTAAAATGTTATAACCTAAATGAGTTGAGTCAAAACCGACATCACAGCACTCGGGACAATCCTATACACATGCTCTGCCCTCATCTTCATCAACCAATGAAGAGTTCTAATTCTAATGGTACCAGAAGCAGTGTAATTATTCATACATCCTGACTTTCTTCTGAATGCAGTGTCTAATGTACTGTCTACTGAAGCAACGATGTCTGCGTTGATTGGGACATGTCTCCTGCATGGAGGATGGTCGTATTTCAAAGGAAAGTAGTTCTGTGAGGTAAAATGGAAACAGGGAACAGACCTACAGGAAGGCCAAAGCTACATAATAAAGACATATGCAAAGGTGACCTGATAGATACCAACACAGGCACAGAGACTTGGGAAAAATCAGCTGCAGATTGACTAGTAGAAGAAAGTGAAAGATGGACTGTCGCATTTGGAAAGAAATCAAACGCACCGAGCTACAGAGAAGAGACCCTGGGGAAATAAATTAGCCTCATAGTGGGGGAGTATCCACTTATCGGTGTGTCCAATGTGGCAGAGACTGCCACTCCCCCATCAGTCTTGACAGTCATAGCAGACTGTTGCCAAAGCCAGCTGCACATCTCCATAGTCCCCAGGGAGTGATGGATGCCATTATTATTACTACTATAAGAGTCTCCTGGCCACTAACCTCTGACTGTTCTTCCTACAGCGTAATGGTCTATTCTTGCTTCCACGTGGTATATTTGCCCCCACAGGGCCTTGACTACACATGATACATAGCTGTCCACATGTGGGATGCAATTTGTTGTTGTCTGTAGCCCCACCCTGTCCTTTGCTGGGGGCCCTGAATATAGCAGGACCTTATAAATATGTGGCCTCACGGCTGAAAGGAGTTTCTGGAACCTCTCCACGGGTGATCCTCATCCGCATGGTGGCACTTTGTATCACCGGGTGTTTATTGCTTGTGTGATGTCCTGGTGGGGTACAAACAACTACCTACCTACCTACCTTGACTACACCCAGCATTATAGCACTCGTAATTTATTTCAAAAGTTTAATTAACATTTTTTATATTCCCTATGTAACATACACGATCTGCAGGAAAGCTAACTCGTCAATAAATGCCTGCAGAAGTCAGATGTGTCGGCCGAAAGGTGCAAATATCACAGCCATGCTGCAAACAGGCACACATAATTACATCTTCAGATGAACACAGAAGAGAAGAAGAAGAAATACATGATCTCTGCAAATATTATTTCAAGTGCAGATCTATGTTCTATGGCCCTCATGCTGCATGATGATCGGGGGAGAGTTACAGTAGCTCTTTGGGGACATCATGTTCAAGTCAGAAGCCTTGCGAGTCGGGCAATCATCTCGAATTTCTAACCTGGATCACAAAATACAATCACAAATTTAAAAAAATAAATCAGTTATAGTCTTGTGAGCAACGAGAACTACATATACAGTGATACGTCGGCATATGAGGGACTTAGCCAACACATTTTTCTGCTGATGAAAATATTATTTGGCCTTGCCTAAAGAAATTACATTTGGTTAGCAAATGTTTTAGTGGCTGCAAATGATAGCATAGCGTGGCCCTGTTGTGATGTGAATTTTCTGTAGAAACTGATAGGAAACTACGTTTCGGCTAATGAAGATTTTCGGCTAACGAATGTGATTCTGGAATGAATTATCATCTTTAGCTGAGGTATCACTGTACAGTGGCTGAAAGAAAAGTACAGGATCTCCTGGGCTTATTGAGTTCCGCTCTGACTAACAGATCGTAAGTCGAGCTGGTCATAAGTCCAATTTATATTTTTCAACATACATTTTATTTTTCATTCAAACAGGTTACAAAAATTGTTCACACACACACAAAAATGCCACAAAAATCAGATCTATGTACATTAAATTACTGTATATAATATGAACAATACATAATTATGTTCTATTGCATCCATCACTTCCTGGAACCTTTAGATCCTTCAAATTTCATCTTTCTTTCTTTACTTTAAAAAAAACAAATTTATTTACCGTTTGCTGTCTAAGTGCAAATGGTCGAAAACTGCACAGGTCATAAGTCGAGGAAAAGGTGTCGCCCCACAGTAGTTACTGATTGTGGGTTATGCAGTGTTAGATCTTCTAGACAACAACATGCAAGGGTGGGTGAACAGTTCCATCCTCATAGTCTTCCCTTCCCAGAATCTTGTTTGGTGTCTCTTTTTTATGAGGCTATGTCAAATCCACGTCCAAATATATTTCCCCGCAAAACTTATGGCCAAGAGAGATGCCGGTGGAAGCTAAACTGTACAGCCATCCAAGTGAATTACAAAAGACAGTAAAGTTCATACTAGATAACAGCATTGCAGATAAAGATAATTTATTTCAAGCAAACAAAAGAAGAAGAAGAAGAAATAAAAGTAAAGGTAAAGTCGGGAGATGTGAACCAGCATCATTGCACACGGTTATACACCATAAGTGCTCTGCCACCAGTACGGACAACTGATAAGAAACTATCCACCTGTGTCGCCGTCCGCACGAAACTCCGTAGCTACAGCGATATTCCTCCATTTACCCAAGAGTGTCAACTCTGGTACCCATTTCCTAGAGGCTGGGTGAAATGAACCCTCGGAACCGCCCGGTTTCGAACACCGACCATGGCTGCAGCGAGTCACGGCTGGATTTGAAAGCGAGCCTCCTGTCGACTGCGCTAACGAGGCTCCCAAGAAGAAGAAATCCACGTTTGTATGCTGACCCTAAGATCAAGTGTCCCTCATTCACGTTTTATTTGTCAACATTTTACCTGTTCTCACAAATTTTCATTCTAGTTCTTTCTCCCCCTTTCTACTCTTTGTTTATGTTCTTACTCATAACCTGTGTTTGGTCACTTCATTTCTGCATTCAATGGCTTACTTGTTGCTGTACAATGTATCTCCTTGGGCTATAGTGAAGGGGTCCAGTGATGGCTTCTCCCAGGACTTGTCTCTGTGTCGCGGCAGAGGGCCAGCCTGTTTGAGCTGGATGCCCGGCATGGGCCTGGCTGTGATAAACCCTGTCAGCTTGTAGTAGTCGAGGAAGGTCCGGGCCAGGTTGCGACCTAGCTTCATGTCTTAAAGGGATTCAAGGAAGATTGAAGATATTTTCTTTCAGTAACAGTAGTAGTATTATTCCCCCGTGTGGGTTCCGGGGCCCCATTGTGGGGAAGACAAGAATAGACCCACTGCCTCCCCAAAAGCATGTCGTAAGAGTCAACTAATTGGGGAGCTTCCTTTGAAGTCGGAGTGCATCTGCCAGAGAGGCAAGGAACCAACAGTCTGCATTCAAGAGAATGAGATCTGTAAAACTGATGCACACGCAACACTCAGGTTCTCTAGCAGGACTGCAGTTCAGTAGTGGACGAGCAACCAGAACCTGCCGCCAGAGTTTACAGCTGGTGAACGCGAAGAAGAAGGAGAAGTAGTAGTATTCGTCTGCAGTAGTAATTATAGAAGTCGTAACAGCAGCAGGAGCAATAATAACAGTAGAAGTCATTGTTACAGTAGTAGTAATTCTACCAGTAGTAGTAGTAGTAGTAGTGGTTGTGCTTCCTTTCACAGCTGCAGGCAGGGTTAAATGAGAAATATTTTAGATGAGCTCAGGAAGGGTCATGCGGTAGATTTTCTCAGTGTGATGCAAGTCTTTAAAATGCTGCTCCTTAAATGTTCAAACGGTGTTTTGATTTCACTGCTTATACCGCCCCCTTACGGCGCCGCTTGATGTGGTCACATCTCTATATCATATCCCGGCATGGCCCTTAGCTGAGGCTAGGAAAGAAACATAAAAAATGTTGATATAATTTTATTGGTGTGGTGGTCCAACTATCAAATTTAAGGGGTTCATTACATCAATTACCAACAAAACGCTTAACATTAGAATCAGTATTTTCTGCCATCCTATTGTCTATAAATTATAACAAGTGCTTAGCTATAACTGGGAACCACTCAACTAAAGCACTGATAGTTGTATGGAAGACACACTTATTTGGGTGTGAAGTGTTAGGCTTCAGATATTCTCAGCTATGACACAATGAGATGTGCTGGCTACTTGCTGTTAGGAACCCGAATCAATGTCTTGGCAGCAGACATTCTTACTAATCATTACACCATGGGAGCTAACTCAGAGGTAACCACAACTTTTTATATGTCAAAGGATACAAGCTTCTTCCGTGTAGGGCATAGACTGGCCAGTCGTGTTGGTCTGATAGCTAAAGAAGGACACTTCCAACGTATAGCAATGGGATTCGTCCAGGCAACTCCCCAACGTCCTGTGTGACAATAGAAAACAGAATTAGTTCATCATTATTTCGAATTGAATTCTTTTAATCACAAATCATTTGTAACCCATGTTTTTCTCTTCATGTGAATCTTAACAATTATATAACACATCTTATTGGTTCAGTATCTTTCCGTCCTTTTTGGGATGCAATTTTTCGTTATTTGAAGCCCTACTTTGGCTCTTGCCAGGGGCCGCAATATAGCTAGGCCATAAATATGACCTAAAGCCTGAACGTGGTTTCTGGGACCTCTCCACGGGTGATCCTCTTCCACATGGTGGCACATTGTGTCATCGGGTGTTTATCCCTTGTGTGATGTCCTGGTGGGGTAGAAAGACAGTCATTGGGTCAGTTTAGACAAAGAAGTACGGCTTCTAAAGTGGCCACTTGTGAGTTTTATACAAAGTGTGTGTTTGTGGTGCATGTATCCTCATTGAAAATAATCTTTATTGATGCTTATTTCTCACACTAGGCGAACCATTTATGTCTTGTTTTCCCATCCTGTCAGATATTTGATGGCCGTATTATTCTTCTGCAGCATTTATTACATAAAAGACTGACACACTGTGTTGTAGTTTATTGCTAGGCTGCTGTGATAAACCTGCTTTGCATGGTCTCCGCGCTCACAGCAAGCCAAGAGGAAAATCCGTGCGACAAGCAACCGCACGAGATTCTTGGGAGCCAGTTGAGTAGACGTGGGCAGGCCCGAGCTACACTCGTGGTCAGTCGCATCAGAGAATGCAAGTTGCTTACCAGAAGTTATAGCAGACAGTTGTGTTAATAGAAGATGTAGTTTTAATGTCTTGAGAATGATTCGTGGATGTTGGAATAATTGTTGGAACCGTGTGGAAGAATGTGATCGAATAAACTGACAGAAATGTATACAGGAACTGAGAGTCGTTTGTGTTATCGATCCTAGACGTCAGAGCAGTGCAAGTAGATACGTTGCAGTAATCATATAAAGCCGAATGGTGGCGAAAGCAGAGACGTTGTAAGCCAAGGTGCATTGCAAGTGGGGTTTCATCTGGAATTTGAACCCGGGACCTCTTGCACACCAAGCGAAAATTATTCACCTAGACTAGCTGAAGAAGCTGCAAGCTAAGGTGCATTGCAGCTGCGATACCTGCGCTTTCAACCCAACTCAATCAGATTCTAACAAACCAACTTCATCCCCCTTTATGACATGCTTGTTAGTAGGGGTAGAGAATCTACTCCCGTCTCATACCAAATCAATGGGTCCTAGAACACACACATGGAACTTGAAGGTCTGGTCCTCCTGCGACTTCAAGAGTCATACACTGAATGGCAATATTACAGGGCACAACCAAGATACTGAGTCAACCTCTAAGGAAGTTATAAAGCGCACCATTGGCTATACCAAGTAGCGGATCATGCCAACCTGTGTGCGTCTGCAATGGCCTACATTGGACAGGTACTATAGAACGTGTTTCTTAAAGAGTTGATTCATTGGATATCTCCCATCTAATCCTGCACTTTCTTCACATTTCAGTGCTGATTCACCAGCTCTTTCTGCCTCAGTAAATATTTTCTTTCACAATAATACCACTCTACAACAAAACAGTCTAATCAGTGTTGGTGAAGTGTGAACGGGGTGGACATAAAGAGTATTTTAGGTAATCTATCTTTAATAAATTGACAAAAAGGGAAATCACAAACAGAAACAGTCATCTTTACGACCCAAACCTTTAACGACAGACACCACAACAAGAAAAGTAATCCTGGACATGAGTTCTGTGTGATTTCCCTTTGCTCCATCGTTGAGCTTTTTGGGTCATTGTTCATTAAATTCATTGTTTTATAATACACTGACTTGAGTCATCCCTATTTTCATCGCTTTAAAATCCGAGTCGCATTATACACTTGTTAGTTAAGGGAAATAACCATGCAAAGAAATATATATGCCACAGTTATCTCTCCTCTCATGAAGGAGAAGTGTAGCGATGGTAGGTAAGTAAGTTGCACACCACCAGGACATCACACAAAGTACCACCATGCGGATGAGGATCACTTGTGGAGAGGTCCCGGAAACCCCGTTCAGCCTTAAGGCCATATTCCAGGCCCAGCAATATTTAGGGCCCCCGACAAAAGCCAGGGTGGGGCTTCAAAATAACTAATAATTGCATCTCATTTAAAAAAAAGTGATGATATGGTTCGTTACCAAAAATTGTAACCTCACATTACTTGCTGGGATGCGTTAACCCACATTAGTTATTGGGGCTGCGTGTGAGGGTGCATTACACCAAATCAGTTGTTGGGGTTGCATGTTGCGGTGCCTTACTACACATTACTTGCATGACTGTAAACTCATCGTACCTGTTGAATTTCGAATTCAATCCCCCTAAAATGTGCAAGGAACTCAAGAGACAAGGACCAAAATTAGGAGGCGGAGAAACACTCACGTGGAAGCATGAAAACTCATTTGAACCACTGTAAAGGACAATTTTTTCCCGGCCTTTATGCGTATTGGGCATATAGGGCTAAAGCTATATTTTATAGACCAATCGGCACTCGGTGGGTGATGTGGTCAACTCCACACTGACCACCTTTATTTCCCAGGACTTTACCTGCTACCCATTTAAGGCTGGGTAGAGCTGTGAGCCAAGATCATTTCTGATGTGGTCAACTCCACACTGACCACCTTTATTTCCTAGGACTTTACCTGCTACCCATTTCAAGCTGGATCGACTTGAGAGCCGAGGCCATTAAAACAAAGTCCGACTCCGTCAAGACCTGAACCCACGACCATCGGATTCACAGACGAGAGTCTAGCCGCTACACCACGGCGGCTCCCTGCACTTACACATAACTGCCCTCTAATCTAAGGACTGCTAATTGTTCACTGACATAAACCAGTATTAGGTCTATATAGCTCTTTCTATCATTAACTGACAAAGGTACCCGTATATTACATCCCATGAAACGCCGGTCACGGGTAGTTATCATACTTTGGATCTTTTCTCCAGGCCATGCCGGCGTGGTTGGTTATGAACAGGCAGACAGATTGGCTGGATCTGCACCGCTGGGTTGTGAACTGATACATGACAAGGCAGATGTGGTCAAGGCCTTTGGGAACAAGCAACGGAATCAGCAGAGATAACAGATTATTATACCCTGGAGAGAATGAGGCACCTGTGTATAACCAGAGGGTCTGGCCGGCTCACTACACTCAGAAGAAAGGCAAGACGGGCATATAACCAGATTGTGAACGGTACCATCAGTATTGGAACTCTGCGCTGACTACTGACGACGAGGACGCCTCTGCCCCTACCCCCCTAGAATGATTTTTATCCCGCATAGTAATGCCGCATATTACGTTAACCCACATCACAAGCATTTCGTGTATTCATCAATGTCTGCATTCAAATTCCCTATAATTTAATTTATGGAAATACTCACAAACCAGCCTATAAAAATAACCCACAAACCAGCCCATGAAAATAACCCACAAGCAAGCCCATTAAGCTCCTGATGGCCTTTGATACATTTAAGAAGAAACGGCCGTAATCCCCCGGTGCAAAAACGGCCGCTTGGAAGCAGCCAGGAATCAAAACAGAAATGGCCTTAGAATTGGGCAATTCTGTTTGGTAAATTGTGTGCTGGCTACGGCCAAACGAGTGCAACCGTCGTAATGCAGGGAAACAGTTTTACTTCAACCGGAGAGGGAAGCCGCTCTCAAAGCGGGTTTGTAACAAACCAGCTTGAATAACTTTGTGAAACATGATGGATTTGATCATGTTGAGAATTGCACGCTCGATTAGAGCTCTGGCGTACCAGCCAGTCTGCTCTCATCACAAACTCATCAGGCAGTGTTGTCTGGCTTATGGCATTTATCTGTCTGGTATTCGGGCAGAGAAGAAGAGGGGAGGGATGTAAGTTTTCTTCTGTCTCTCTATGTTTGCATTTCCCAAGTGAGCATGCATTTTGGAGAAGCAAAGAGCTATTGAAAATAGAAGAAATACAAAATAGAAAATAATACTGAAATAAAGTTTACTCTGCCTTTCATCACTATCATCCTTTGTCTGCTATCAGCTATCATCCTTTGTGCGCTATCAGCTATCATCCTTTGTGTGCTATCAGTTATCATCCTTTGTGTGCTATCAGCTATCATCCTTTGTGTGCTATCAGCTACCATCCTTTGTGTGCTATCAGACGTCACACAGGGCTCTCATTCGATTCCTCCACTCCGCTCTATTAAACGCAACTCTCGCTTTCTGACATGGAGTTCAGCCCAGCATTTTTGGCCTCTCGTAATAACGTTCTTCTTTATGTTTCCCCTGGACGTCCTCTTTTTCTCAGTCCGTTTGTTTCCCATTTCAGCGCTTATTTTGTAATTATTTGCTCATTTCGTCTCACTGCTCAATATACCCCAATTTTTTTTGTCTTACTGCAGTCGTTACATCATGAGGTGTAATAGACATGGTTGGGCTTATAGACATAATGCCAGATGGTAGAGAGGCAAAAGCTGTGCACACAAGAGACGTTGAATAGTTGTAGACTACGAGGCATATCAAGAACAATGTGGACAAGCTGAAGAACGCTAAGAAATTATAAACGACAACACACGAAAAATAAGGTCACACCGAACAAGAATGCGAAAACTAGGAACAAAGAGCGGGCACTGATCCAAACACGGTATCTTGGCGAAAATAAGAACGCATGTTTAATCTAGAAGACGCATTATGGTTTATTTTAAAGGGATTTCTTTTTCATGTACAAACCTAGACATCTAGTCAAGTAAACACATTTTTTTTTTGAGAGAGCATTCATATACCTTGTAGCAACATACCGATGTGAGTCGTGGATATCTCCCTGTCCTTAAGAAAGAAAATACAGGCTTTTGAGCCGAAATGCTATAGAAAGACTCTCAGAATATCTTGGACAAAGAAAAGAAGAAATACTGACATTTTAAAAGATCTGAACATCAAGGAATATAAGCTAATAAAAAACAACATGTCTCGGAAGCTGAAATA